CAGGAATGAGAAAATGCATTGCAGAAATGCAAAAAAAAGACAAAGAAGTTATTCTAAAATAGCAGAAGCTTCCAGCTCATTTAATCCACAAAGATCAGGGCACACGTATCACACACCCATGAAATGCCCTTTCTCAGAACAGCACATTGTACAGTAAGCTTGGCTTCCAAAAGCACTTCTCCTGGTGGACCCTTGTCATTACTAGGGACACCCTCACTGAGCATCACTTCTAACATGCCAGTGGAAGACACAGGAAAACCTGGGAAAACCCAGGCTAACATTAAATGAGGGTCTCGCTGAGGCCTCAGTCCCCACACAGCAGCATGTACCTTTGCTTACATGGCACATGCTGACACAAAGCCAGTGTGGAGCCTGACCCTGCCTGGCCCTTGCCAAGTCCACAAATCCTTTGGTCAACAGCAGGCAAATCTCTGAGACTACACAGCAACATCAGCTTTGCTAATTTATCTTGTCTCATCCAGCTGAACTAAATCATCAGGAGTTTGATGTTTATTTGAGCTCTCTGAAGTTTTAATTGTATTTACACACCACCCTGATGAAATTCAGTTGCTTACAACCAACTGCTTTTACTGCTGGCCCACAGTGTTGTGTTGCCAGCGACTGACAAATCTCTTCAAGGTCAGAGTTACTGTCTGGTCTTGAAATTCTCAATTGAAACATGAGGTAATGAGTTAAATATGATTTTATAAATATTTTATTTCAACTGGATCATGTAAGCCAGCTGTAAATTGCATGAGGAAACTTGATTGAGAGCACAGGGGAACAAGGCATCCTGCTCTGCTTCCCCCAGTGTGAGCTGCTCTGGTAACCTGGGAGAAGCAGCAAGCAATCACCATGTGTCTGTTGTAGAAATAAACTGAAATCTGGTGCCGCCTCATTAGTACACACTGGTGTGTTCTGGGGACTGTCTCTTGAAATCCTTACTCCAGTTTAAACAGTTAGATCCCGTGAAATTAACCTCTGTTCAGTATTTCTATCATCCTTGCAGGTGGTACATGAAAATCAAGTAGCTAGTAAGCACCCATGACTTATTAATCAGTTGCAGCTATTGACTCCCTTCGGCTAAACAACTGTTCCTCCCTTAGTTTCTCATGAATCTCCATAGTCAGGTAATTATGCTAAGAAGTGAAAAATAATAAAACTTGCATATTGGCAGCTAAGCCCCACTTACTTTAATTAAATAAAACATGGCACTCCTGGCACTCTGTGTCTACTGTACTGCTAAGCTCTCTAGAGATCTCAGCGCATAAAGGCACAGCTTCCTGGGGGATTCTCTCCAGAAAGAGTCTGACCTGGGAAAGCAATGCTGAATGTGAAATTGCTCTAAAATTGCACGGATGCTAGAGCTGCTGGGATGTGCAAACTGCACCAGACAGAAAAACAAATGCAGGACAGAAGCAGGAATAAGTAGATGATGTTTCAATGCACCCAAGCTGGAGGAACCCAGAGGACACATTGCTCCCAAAGGAGTATGGCTTGCGGGTAGACAGACAAACTTCAGGCACTAAGCATTACTTATGTGGCTACACAGTGTGCTTTTGTTTCATAGGCTGCTGGTATCTCACCTAGGAAAAAGCAAAAGCAAGCCAGAAAAACTGGTGAGGTTAGTGGTTCAAGTCCCTTCAGGAGGGATGCACTGGCTGAACAGCACAGCTGCTCCACATGCCTGCTACACATTCTGTTCCTCCAGACTTAGCTCTCTTCACTCTCCTCAAAACTTACTTCACCTCCAACTTAGCTGGAGGCTAAGCCCTTCAGAGGAAGCAAGAGCAGCAATCTGCAGCATGCAATGACACAGCTGCATGGAGCCTTCACTGCAGGCTGCTGTGCAGTGGCAGGGAGGACTCTGGACAGAGGAAGGTGGCCCACTGCCATGCAGGGGGAGGCCAGTGGGCAGAGACATGCCATCATGCCATTGCCACCATGCTTTAGTCTTGTCTGGTTACACATATCATTAGTTCTTACCAGCTTGTGTGGACACACCTCATCCCCCAGACCATCATTCAAGTTCTGCTGGGGTTTCCCATGGAGAGCTCAATGGGGCACGATGGCTCAGGACAATGTCTTAGACATCCTGTGAGGCAGCACTGAGGTGTCCAGCAGAGCATGACAAGCCTCAGGACAACAACTCTTGCTTCTCTGTCACATCACAACTGTCCTTGCCATATTAAGGATAAATTCCTCTGCGGAGACAGCAGAGCTTGTTTTAAACCAGCCAAGGCTGCAAGAGGACCTCTGTGAAACCCACCACTTTGTGCTCCTAAAGCAGATGCAAGTTTTGCTCTTGCTTGCTCTGCTGTAAAGACAGTGACCTCTATAAACAAGATTAAAAAGACAGATCAAACCAAAAGAACTCCCTAATGAAATAAAATGCTTTGTGCACAGACTTCTCCCCTTAGACAAGAGGAAGAGGGAAAACCAGCTGATAAATATTAATCCCACAGCTGAAGGCAGAGCCCAGTGCCCTGGCAGGATGTCTGCATGGCATCACTGCCTCTCCCCAAGCAGGCTGGGAAATGGGAACTGCTGTGGGAATGACAGAGAACTGGGACTTGCTCCAGGTCTTGTGATACCCCAGGTGACTCCTGGCTGGGGGGAACCTGGACCAGGACATTGCCAGTAAAATGTGATTCAAGAGCTGGATGGGATGTTTTTCCTGCCCCTGTGTCCTATCTAGCACCCAGATGGATGCCAGCACGACTGGAGGTGGAGCTGTGGTCACTGGGGTGCCAGCCAGAGTCCTTCCCAAGGGGCACATCCCCAGAACTGGGGTTTGCTGAGGTTCAGCTGCTCATCCTGAGGTGATGGTGCCACCTCGCCTCCTGGCCACAGAGCTGCCCCACAGCAAGGCATTGTTTTGTGACAGCATCCCTTAAGCAGTTCAGTTTTACAGCTGAACCAACTCAAGAAAATCCACCTTGCAAGCAAGATATTAAGATTTAAAGCAATTAGCTTCCCAGGTTCACCAGGCTGGTGCATCTATGGTGAACTTAATTGAAATCAGCAGAACATTTGAAGAGGAAGGATGAAAACAGGGCAGCTGGGAAAACAAATGTTCTTTTTTCTAATTATGCTGTGGACTCTCTCTAATGGATCCCCCTGAAGCTTCCTGATAAAGTAACTGACATATGGTACCTACTTGCAGATGGATCATAATAGGCAGGGATGTAATTTTGCAAAACTAAAAATTCATGTTGGATTTGATATATATTTAGGATCTAGTTAATTCATATAGATTGCATTGTGCATACAAATGATCATAAAATGCAGCAGGCAGAGAAAACCTCCTTAGCAAAATTGACTGTCACAGAATCAGAAAAGGTAAATGAGATATGACAGGGGAACTGAGGGAGGAAAACATGAGAAATACAGAAACAGCAAACATATGGGGTATCCAAACTGAGAAAAAACCCTGTAAGATACAGTAATGCAGAAGCAGAAACAAAAAGATCCTATTTTCTGTTTCACAACTCCTCCTGCACTTGGTTCTAAAATAACTTCTGGTGTTGTTTAACAAATTTACTGTTAGCTTTTCCAGGTTTACATAACATAGCATTATGTAATTTTTTCCCCACTTTTTCAGATGCACCTGAGAGCTGATGAATCCAGCTGATGAAGTGCTTTGCAGTAAGAACAAGTTTCAGTGAAAACATGTATATCTAACAGCTAAAAGCTGTTCCCAGGGACCAAGTGACCCGTATTTATTTTCCCTGTCTTCTGTTATTGGAAAAATAAGATTATTACTATCAGCATTAATGTTACCAATCAAGTTATAAATGCTACATAGTAAATTAGGATCCTATTCCACTGACACTATGACCAAAGACTTGGATAGAAGAGATGGCTGAAGAGATATGTCCTACATATCACAGAGGCCACAGAGACAGATGCTCTTTCCCATGCTCACAAAGGATCTGAGATCTCCAGCAAGGCAGGAACAGAGGCTCAGCATGGAAGATTGCTAATCTTGCACCCTAATTAGCCATATGAAATTACTCTTGAAACTTGATATTTGCTTAAACTTCCTACCTTTAAGGAAGAGCTTAAGGAGGAAACTATAAAAACAGAATTTGGCCAATGCTCTGGATTTAGACTCAGAAATCATGTGTTTGGATAGTCACACAATGGCTAAATTACACAGGTGCTCCTATGGCCCAGACATCTGCATCCAGGTATCCCTGTGGCTGAGGCAGGCAGGTGAGGGCTGTGGGCAGGGGGTAGCCTTCACTCAAAGTCTTTGCACAGAAGCTGAATTTGTTTGAGGAGAGCAAGAAGATAGGCCCTGCAACTGCTTTAAGAAGACACAGCTTTAGGAGTATAAAAATGTTAAGAATTTTCAAAGTCAAGGTCTTCAAACCTTTTTCTTCCCTGCACAAACACTTATCAGATGCTTAGTTTTTCATAGGCGATCCATTAATTCACCTGCGAGATTCTTGCTGAACAAGCAGGTACAAGCAGATTCCCCATGTCACCTCTCAAATAGGAGGCTGGACTAAAGACCTCCTGAGGTGCCTTCTACCCAGAATTATCCCAAGGTTCTGTGAGGAGGAAGTAAACGAACAATTTGCTCTCAAAACAAAACTGGGAGACATGCAGTACGCTCTCTGAAAGCTTGTCATCTGATAATTTGTGATAAAACAACAAATTCATGGCCTTCACTCCACCCAACAGCTGCTAAGTATCTATTTGTTGAACTGCAACTTGAGTTGCACTGGGGCCATAATGGAGATGATGTGATGGGTGATCCCTGCAAAAAGCCCATGCAGTGATTTTGTGCAGATGCTCATAGAGGCAGGAGGTAAGTGCCATTCCCCCAGGCAGCTCATTGCAGCTGGGAAGCTGGCCCCAGAGTCTCTGCATCTGGGAGCTCCCAAAATGCCACTTTCCAGGGGACACCCACACTAACAGCTGGGAGAGCTGAGGGATGCTGCTGAGTGGTACCTTGCAGGCATCGTTCACACTGCTCCTTTCCACCCCCTCTCCTTCCCCAGGGCATGACAATGACCACTCAGGAGAGTCCTCTCGATGTGACAGAAAATATAGTGGGAAAATAAGTCTTTTTTGTGTCCTTCACCTTCCCACATATCTTGTACATAAAAGCCAAATTACTACCCTAGAGTCTAATAATATGGTAATTGTAACATTTGCAATCCAGGAATTTCAGGATGTTTACTGAAGAAGTTATTATTTCACTGTGAAATTGCTTCCATGCGTTCTTTAAGATTCCCTAGAGAGCCAAGTGCAAGCTTGAAGAATACAGAACAGGGGATTTTTTGTCCTGGCATGTGACATGTCTCGTTAGGAGACACCCACCAGCTCCCCTTTACCTTGTTTTCTTCACCCCAGCTCCATTTTCAGGGAGGCAGGGGTGGAAAGTGAGTTGCCAGTACCCATCAGCTGGGGAGTGAGAACTTTCTCATTTTATTTTCAGCTGCTGGCCACCTGCTAAGCCACAGAAATGCTGCCTTCAAACACCAGCAAAAGACTTTGAAAAGAAACGGGGATGGCTCTGATCTCCAGCACGTTGCTGCAGCAATTCCCCTGAAACTGGTGCTTTCATTGCAGGGATCACAGCTGCAGCTGGCAGCAAAGTCACTTCACTTTTTCTTTCTTCCTTTCTTTAGTTTTTTGGTTTGATTTGGTTTTGTTGTGTTGTTTGGGTTTTTTTGCTTGTTTGATTGCCAGTGTGTAAATTCAAAACCCAGTTTCCTGGTTGGTTTGTGCCATTGGGGTTAGAGGTGGCTGGTGGGAAGTATGTGCAGAGAGGGATGGAAGTCTTTGAGTGACAGAGCACTTGCTCCCACTCTAGGATGTGGAGGGGTGCCTGCAGTTTCCTGCCTTTCTGGGAGGCACTACCTGAACTTCTGGTCAGCAAAGGAAGGTCTAGCAGAGCCTACTGCCCTGGGGAAGCTCCAGCCTTCCCAAAATGGCAGCATGACTGAGGCTGCTTCTCCCTTCCAGCACTAAAACATAACCCAGCAATACTTTCCTTCTGGTCAAAACTAACTTTTTCCTGGGCCAGAACAATGCTTCAGTTCCAATTTCAGATGTCTTAAAAGAAGGTAAGCATGGGATATGGAAGCTTCATAAAGCCAGGAAAGACAAAATATTTGCTGACAATGTGATCTCAGCCCCCTTGGTGGAGCAAAAGAAAGGAAGGCAAAGCACATGCACATCTCACCATGACCTCCAGCTTCCAGGCTTGGGGTTGTCCTACCACAGCCTGCTTGGCACCTCTTGGTGACAGCTTCATCCTCAGGTTCTGCATACATGAATCCCCCTTCTCACAGTGACATGCCACTTCTCAGCTTTGTTCCACATTCTTTGAGCTTGGCGCTGGTTTCTTTAGGCACACACCTCAGCAAATATCTTTCTGAACAAGGGCCCAGTTAATGCATCACCCAGCAATTGGTGACCAGGAAAAATATGTCACCTGACACTTTTTTCCAGGCAGCTCTCACTGGATAAGAATTGCATGCACTGCCCTGAAGGAGCTATTCACTTGTGTGCCTTCAGATCTTTGGAAAACACTGGGCAATTTGAAGGCAAGTAGTTATGCTCTTTAGGAGAGCAGTAAATACGTGGGTTTTTTTCACACCTACACTCTCTAATGCAATTGCATGGATTTTCATCAGAAAAAACAGGCTCATGCACCAAAATTAACAGGCAATTCCCTGGCAAATAAAGGCTGGAAGCCTCTGAAGTTCATTCAACATCTCTTAAGTCCAGCAGACAAAGTTCCAAAACATTCCCATCTGTGCTCTGCCTCATTTGTTTTCTCCATCCATAGAGTCAAAACACAGTTACATATAGTGAAGACTGTAAAACTATCATAGCCTGGAGAAGAGTGGGCTTGGACAAATTTCTTTCTAATCATTGTGTCCCTTTAATGAGCTCCTGCTTGCAGTACTGAAATGCTGCAGCAAAGGCTGAAGATCTGCACTGAACACCTGGCCAGTCTGCTCTACTCAGACAGACTGTTTGCAGATCCTTGACCACACGCCAGGTTGCCCATGGACCTAAAGCCATGGCTCTGTATGAACAGACCAGGACAAGGTTTTGGCTGCGCTAACTGCTCATACTACCAGATGCTGAGAGGAGTTCATCAGAAGGTACTGCTCCCTGTGCCACATGCACTTTTTACTTACCTCTGTGTATTGCTGAACTACATTTTCGGGAGTTGGTCCAAGGAAGATGTAGAAGTCAAGGACTCCTCCAATAGTGCGGAAAGTTAAAGATGGGTTTGGACTCAGAGTAACATCTGAAAGGAAAAAAAAACAGAATCCCAGTGAAAACCAACTCGGCACTGTGGGTAGGAATGGTTCAAAGCTGCACCAGGGGAGTTTCAGACTGGACATTAGGAAGCATTTCTTTATTGAGAGGGTGGTCAAACACTGGAACAAGGTTCCTGGAGAGGTGGTCAATTACCCAAAGCCTGTCAGTGTTTAAGAGCCATTTAGACATTGTCCTCAATAATATGCTTTAACTTTTGGTCAGCCCTGATGTGATCAGGCATTTGGACTAGATTATCAGTGTAAATCCCTTCCAACTGAACTATTCTATTCTATTCTGTTCTAGACTAGTCTAGTCTAGTCTATCCCATCCCATCTGTATGCACAATGGTCTCTTCTTGCATAAATGTATCCCCAGGCAGAGGTGCCTACACATTCAAATCACTACCGGATGCCTTGTGGGTACAATTGGATGGGCAAACAGGACCTGCACATAGGCTGGGAGTTGCCCAGTGTTTCTGTAATCTCCGCTTTCAGACTGACACTGTGCAGGAAGAAATCACAGGAACCCACACAGAGTAGTTTGCACAGATCCATTTGTCTCAATTTCATTTATATAAAAAGAAACCACAAGCTTGTGTTTAGTGTTCCTCTATATTATTTTAATCTTCTTGTTGGAAGTCTGCCTGCTAGGGAAACTGATTTTATAGACTGAGTGAAGACTCCCCTTTTCTGAAACTATACCACTGGATTAATACAGGAAGGTGACCATGGCAACGCACAAAACTAGTCTCCACAGACAGAACACAGGACTAACTTAAATTGATTTGATTCAGTTATGTCAATCCCAGAAGAAATTTCTTCCATCTTCTCCTTTCCCTGTATGTGCTTCTATTTAAAAAAAACTAATAATATTTTTTTCACTGAAAATACCTTATCTTGTTGGAACAGTCATTCTAATGAAATCCCTTTCAAAACTTTATAGCAATTCCTGGAACCTCAGTTGCGGAACCACATTGAATAAGTAATCAGTAAAACAGTTTTTTATATTTACTAATTTACCAACTTTCTATATGCAACCCATGTATCTTTTTACCTTGTGCATTGGAGTTCAGAAGGAGAACACCATGGGCATTGGAGTCATCTTCTACACACATATAGAAAGGGTGAACTCCATAGAGGTTGGCAAAAGGCTGAAATGAAAACAGCACATTAGGTATGGTTTGACTTTGCTATTTTTCATAGGTTTTGTCAGCTAGATGCATATGCAAAGACAAGGAAATAAATTCATTCATAGTTAAAGACTTGTTTTGAAAGGTGGGGATTTTTTCATCTGAACTTGAGATAAGTCAACTTGATAGAAAAAAAATATTTTTTCTGCCTTATCATTATGGTACTTTTTTGCCTCTCTCAGTTAAACCTTCCATATTATGACAAACCTTCAAAAATTACATGGGTAAGAACTGCTTTGTTGGGTAGACTCACCAGCCACTGACCCTCATTTAGCCAAACATCTAATGAGTCCTTCTCAAGTCCAGTGTGCTTGGATGAACAGGGATTCAACCAAGCATGAAATTAAATGCTTTCCTGAACCAGGACCTTGGCACACAAAATACTTTTTTCTGAAAATTAACTGCACCATGAGAAAGCTTCTGATGAATCATTTCAAAGTCCCCTCAAAATGATTCATGGTTTTGTAATTCAATTAAAACTTACAACACCTGCAAAATCTGTGACATTCCATGTTTGCCACTGATTCCCATTAGCAGTGTTACTGTACGGAGGGAGGGGCTCCCTCAGCAAAGCTGTACCTCACCTCCTTTTGCTGATTCAAATTAAGACAAAGTGTTGCATGAAGACAGTTACCACTGGTGCCTGATCCCT